GAAGTTAAACTAAAGGCAGGAGAACTGAAAAGACAAACACGCACCGGTAAGAGTGAGGTGTGGAAAAGCTTCAAATTGATTGTTGAAAATGCTACAGAAACTTGCGTTGGCTTCGCTGAATGTCGTCAATGTGGCGCTTTGCTTTCATACGAGAGCAAAAAGACTGGCACCTCGACGCTGAGCACTGCTCCTCCTCCCGAGTCCTCACAAATAAAATATGACATTTCGGGTTTGCTTCGGGCTCGGGCCTGCAAATCAAGTTAATTGGTCGGGCTCGGGCCGGGTCGGGTTTTAATACCCGCGGGCCGGGTCGAGTCGGGCTGGATTTTTTAGGCCCGATCTCACCTCTAATGGAATGGTGACACAATGCACACATTAGCAAACGCCAGCAACACACTCTTAAGAAAGTCTGAAAACTGAAGAAAAAAAATACAAAATGGATTTAAATGACACATTTTCCGGAGCCTGTGATCAATATGTACACAAATTAGTTGAAACTGCTACAGGCTGACAGTTTTAGTCAGCTTTTTCTGATCAGATTGTGTAACAGCTTCAGACAGAGTAGTGCTTCAGTTAGCTTCACACCACTGGGGGTGGTGATCACACCAGCTGCATTACAAAAGCATTAAAATGATCATCTTGCTGTTACATTTGACTGTACTTACTTTTTGACTGTTACTTTTGGCTGTAGTCATCTGATCCAGCTTTAACACTATGACAGCTCTGCCCAGTGTTTTACCACAGCTATCCAGTCCACATTCAGGCTCTCACAGAAGTAGGACTGCTCTGTCACCTCCATTTCTCAGGTTGTGTTGTCGGTTTATGAGCAAATAAGCCTGTGATCCTGCGGCATGTTGGCGGCTCTGAGAATCCTGTTCGATGTGAGTGGATGGCCCGGCTCCTCCTCTGTCTGACTCAGCCATCTGAGTCTCAGTTGGTTATCAGACCTTGAGCGCAGTTTGTGCCTCTTTCTCCTCTATCTTTGTCTCTCTGACCGGTGTATAGGGACTGTTTGGTCGCATTGCTATCAGCTTACTTGAATCTAAAAGGTTCTGTATTTAGAAACGTTTTTATTGCTTTGAAACTAATTTGTAGAATTAGAAGATGTAAAGTCTGGTGAGTTGAATTGTCATAAAAATTGTCTTAAGTGTGCTGTGATTTTCTAATTTGTATTTCTCTCCATTAATTGTGAAATCTCTTGCTACAGAAAATGAATTTACTTGCTAGTTCATGTATTTCTAAAGTCTTGCATTGATTGAAATGTGCTTTTTGATAATTGTCTGCTGTTGTGACCCCTAAGCTTTGGAATGCCCTCCCTCTTCATCTAGATCATGCTCCTCCTTACCTCATTTTAAAACCCTCCTAAAAATATTCTTTTTCAAGATGGAGCTCAACAGCCCATGAGCTTTACTCTGAAGCTGTCAACTTTAGATTTTTATCTTTTGTGTATTAAGCCACTCTTTCATGTAATATTTTATATATTTTATATTTGTTTTATTGTTTCACTCTGTCGCGTTTCATTCTGTAAAGCACTGTGGTGCAACTTGTTATGGTTGGTTTACATGTGCTATATAAATAAAATGACTTGGCTTGACTTGCTTTTATTCCTGTTTATTTCATGCACATGTGGAAACAACAGAGCTTCTCATAATGCCTGTTTTTTCCAGTTTTTCTTTTTCTTCATGGCTTATTGCTCCTTGCTTCCCCATCTGTGTGCATCCTGCGTGGACTCCTTATCGCTTGTTTGCTCTGGCTGTTCAGTTGACCCAGTAGCACTGGGAAAACACTGCATCATAAATTGTTCGAATTTATGTACAGCCTGCTCTGTCGTTTTCATGTTCAACCTTTCAAAATGCATTTTCTTTCTACAGATCTGTGTTTTTTCACAGTCTGGAAATAAACAGAACTAGAATGTGTAGATGACCCCAGGACATTTAGTGCAACCTTAAAGTAATTTTGCACTGTGGTTTGAGTTTGAAATGATTACAAAGGCAGTTATTATGTTTATTTGTCAAGATAGCTTTTGGTAACTGTTTTAAATTGTGCTTTCTAGTATGTGACAATGGAACAAGTGCAAGTTTAACGAAATGTGCGAAGGACCATAAAGAATATCAGACATTTTTGAGATATTTCTGAGACACTGTAGACTTCTTATTCTCTTCACAAAGAAATCCTGCAGATCTCAAGTACTCTATAGACAGTCTGTTTTAAAGAAGTACTTTCTTATTGAATAAGACATTTGAGCTAGCTGATTGGTTTCTTTGCCCAAGTTGTCAGTCTCCCAGCCTTCAGCTTGTGCTTCAGAGACAGATCACTTTGTGCACAATTTCCCTGCTAATGATGGGGTGCTGGGGCACGTCCATGCATCAGTGGCATTGGAGAGGTAAGCTTCCATATTGAGTGGCATTCAGTGTGAATATGGATACAGTAGTGCATTTTCCCATTGAGAAGGGTGCACTGATATGTGCTGCCAGCCCCCTTCTGTGCTACAACATGTGGTCATTGACATCCTCTCTTTTTCTCAGTGTTTTTCTTTCCCTTCACATGTTTAAAATGTACCTGCTGCTGATTTTCAAAGACAAAAACTGGCTTTTTACAACGATATATAGTTCTTTGTCATTTCTTTATAGGGCTGACACTTATAATGGCACCGATTTGAATTTCTAAGTTTGCAGCAGCAGACTCTGTGTTTCTTCAGTGCTTTATAAGGAAAGCTGGCCAACCATATCTTCAGTATTTTGGATCAGTGCAGTGTAACATAAACCTAAATGCATATTGTGGGGAATATCTGTACAATACACCACCTTGGAATGGAACCAATAGATTACCTGTTCTCAAAAATGGTTATAGCAGACTTGGAAGAAAAGTTTATATTGTCACTCAGAAGACGTTCATGCAACCTAGTTTAGAAGTTACTATTTTGGTGTTTTCAGCTTGAAAATCAATGGTTCTACAGTCATATTATTGATCTCAAACATGTAATTCCTTTTATTAACTATGTCAGTTCCAATTGAACGGTAGTGTAGTTGAAACCTTTTAGACTGCAGAAGTATCAAGGAATATTGTACTCCATGCTTTTATATTTTGTATTTGACGCAAATCTCTATTGTGTTTATTATAATAGAACAACAGCTTCAGACACCACTCACATCTCCTGCTGATTTGGCCAGAAATTTTTGTACAGTCTGAGGTCTCTTTATACATGGTCTTTTCCTTTGCCCATTGCCCTCTGCATTGTTCTGTCCATCCAGTCAGCTTTCCTTTGTCTCACTGACTGCGTCAATCACTAAATAAAAGGCAAGATTAAACAGACAGATTAGATGTTCAGTCTTCCCTGAAAAAGGAAGAGTGAAACAGGCTATTTTTATTTGCTTGTCCTCTGCGTTCACAACAGTCCCCCATCCCAGATGTGTTTTTAATTCCACAAGATGCTCTGTAAGTGCTGCCCTCCTTCCCACGCTGTACTCCTGCCACAGCCGAATGTTTAATTGTGGTGCACCATTGGCTTTTGTTTTGTTTTTGTGCTGCAGAAGCTGCGAAGCAAATGACAGTGAGGGAAAATGTGTTTGGACTTTTTCACATTCTCCCTCCATTTTAACAGCATTAAACAAGTTTTCACTTTTAGCAAAGTGTGGAAATGGTGCAGTGCAGTTGACTATTATTAAAGGTAATGTGTAATAACATGAGCTCCAACTGGTTTAAAATCTGCAGCCAGAGATACCAGCTTAACTTCTGTATATTGAAGACGTACGTATCTTACAGAGCCCCAGTGGATAAACAAAGAGTTTTATATATAAATCAACAGTTGTTAGTAAATCAATGGTTTAAGCAAGTGTACTTCACCTGAAGACTGAGAGAACCTGAGAAAACCTCCATACCTTTTAATCTTTTATAATAACCATGATTTAAAAGGCAAATGAAATTGCCAATAGAATGCAAGGGGTTGTAACTGATTTATTTTCATGTAGAAAGTAAATGTTTTGCCCATATTAGTTTTTTTTTTTTTTTCATGATATCTGCATCTAATTTACAAAATGCTTTTTATCCTCAAAGAACCAGGAATAAATGCTTGTGTGCTGTTAGCATTCAAGTTGTAGATTGCATTACTGTGACATCAAAACTCTGTGTTTTACAACTTTAGGAGGACAGAGCACACTTATAAACTAATTGCTGTGAATAAGTGGGATTCTATGAAAGTGAGAAATGGTTCTGCAAACGGTTCAAAATCAGCTACTTCTGTTTGTCAAGTTTTTAAGACTGTTAAAACCAGGTACAGTGCCGTATTAGTTTTTGCTTCTTACTTACCATATGTCTTTTTATTTTCTCAGCCCACATTCCTCCCATCTTTTCCACCATAGCCATTGCCTGATTTGGTTTGTTCTTGTTAGCAGGCGCAGCAGTACAAGGATGCGCTCTACAGTCTAGGGTCTAGGGGGCCACAGCTGCCCAATAAGGCCCTGATTTATCGGGCTCCCCACAGGAAGGCCGCACAAAGACGCTGCTCCACTCACTTGTTTGTGCCGTTACTTACAGCTGACGAGGCAGGCTGCTGTGTATTGGCTGCCATGTGTCCTTAGGTGGTGTCTGGTGTAATGAAATGGCTCTCCTGCTAATGCGTCTGGCCTTGTGTCCTGTATCCAGGCTCTCTTTGTATTCATTCAGTCGTTTTTTTGTATCCTCTGGGATGGGCCTGCTAAAATAATAGACAGGCTAGTAGTTACGAGTGTCATTTGTCTAGAAGAACCGCTTCTTCACTGTTCTGTCAAAGGCAGGATGAAAAATTTTTCCTTCATTCTTCTGTTTTTTGACTGTAAATCTAGTTGTTTGTTTAATCTTTGCTCTTCCTTGCCCTCTGTGTTTGTACACTCTCTCTTCCAGATGGACATCAAATAAAACCAGTTCTCTAAAACAAATTTAAAAGCCTCATTTCAGCAGTGTTAATTTTCTATTTAGTTCTGCTGTCTAATTTTCCTGTTCTCTACCTCTTTCTCTCCTTTCAGTCCAATACCAGATGGAGATGATGCGTTCACTGCGTCACGTCAACATTGACCATCTGCATGTGGGCTGGTACCAGTCCACCTACTACGGCTCTTTTGTCAGCCGGGCACTGCTCGACTCCCAGTTCAGCTACCAGCATGCCATTGAGGAGTCTGTTGTGCTCATCTACGGTAAGTGGTGGTCCCAGATGATATCAAAATTTAGCTGCAATAAATGGATGTAAAACTGAACTGGATCGGTTTTTGCCAACTTGCGGTACTTGAGCATTATAATATAGACTTATAATGGGCAGAAAATGTAATCTATCAAAGCTCAGTATCACCTAAAACTTTAATTCTCATTTAATGCAGCACTAGAACAATTCAGATGGAAGGTTTCTTACACTTGCAAACTATATGTTGACCAATCACAAATGCTTATAATTGTTTTTAAGTTATCTGTTATCACTCTTATAAAGCCATTACCAGGTTTAGATGTAATAATTAGTAGTTTGATTCCCAGACCCCATAGCTGACAGTAATATTTGATTAGTTATGTTTATTTCCTTTGGGGTCTTACATTTGTTTACATCTGTGATGCGTAACATTGATATTAGTTTTAAGCGATAGAAATCCTACCTGGAACAGCCAATGCCAGAATCGGTATCAGTACAGTTGTAGTACTTATGTAGTTTTAATTCAGTAACACAGAGAAGGCCTGTTGGTGAAATTGACACATTTACAGTAACCATAGTTAAATACAACATAGAGTAAGCACACTATTCCTCTTAAAAAAAATGCATTTCAGTGTTCAACCTGAATCTAAAATATTTGTTAATTTCTTTGTAAAAGTATTGACAGATGTGGAGGGACGTTACTGTGCATAACTTAGAAATTCCTAAAAATGTCAATACAAAATACTGTACTGAGGCTGCCCTTGCAAAAAACACGAACAGCTGCACAGACATCTACTATAAGTCATTTCGCAGAGGAAATGCATAGGGCACATTCATTATCTTAGAATAATGAAGCCGGATGTTGTCTTTTTTCATGGCTGGTTTATCTGCAGATATTAAATCAAACAGAAACTTAAGTGCTGATTCTGTTAGGTTTATGAAGTGAAAGCAGAAATGTAAATGCCCAGACGCACTGACCTTAAATCAAGGTCTTTGATCTCAATAACTTCAGACGTGTAGGAGCAACTTAAGTGCATGTTTATTATACCAAAACCTTGTATTTTATTTCAGAGCCATACTCGCAGTGGAATAGGGTCACATATCTTTGTATTCAAAATACATCAGGTAGAAACGTACATTACTTGAGTCAACTTTACATGCTTACCTGGCTAATTTACAGACTAAACTGAGATTATGTTTATCATAATTGAGATCATGATTATTCAAGACCATTTTTGAGTGAGTGTGTGCATCAGTGTGCCAAATGAAATGAAGAATGAGAAAAGGCTGTTAATTTAAAAAGCTCTACCCTGCTTCAGCCTTAGATGAGTTGGTGTGCCTAATATATAATGTTTTTCACTTATGTCATTTCTGCAACCATTGGGTGTTATAAATGCCATTGATTTGATTTAGTTTGATTTATTGCATTACCCCATTTCAGCCATCCTCAACATTCATTTATACATAACATACAATTCCTAGTCTACTCTTATTGTGATATGATTGTGCAGTTCCTGTGCAGCTCTAATGTGAGCAACCATTTTCCTCATGCTCTTTTACCAAAATCACTGCTGGCCTTGTCATGTCCTCCAATATTATGTAACACTACAGTAATGAGTTTTAACCATCTGACCATGAACCACTTAAATCTATCGTAAAGCACGTCATTTGCTCAAGCAGGCAACTCTTGGGCTTTTCTCATTCTCAACAAGGGCCTCAATCAATAATACTATGCTTAATGGTTCAAAGCACCGCACAGAAATTGACATTATACCTAGTTAACGTCAAACGGGAATAATATTGATTCTTTTTGTTTCCCTGTGTTACTAGCAGCCTGGTCATTTTATTTGGATGGATCAGTCAATCACATGGCCAACTATCGAGTTAATGGCTTCCGACCACTGACTACTCCAGATTAGAGAATGCTATTAATGCAAAAGGTTTGATCTCTTCATGACAAGTTTTCCTAAATTGAGGTGAACAGTTGAAGAGGTCATGAGTGCATCTTTTTGCACATGGATTATTTCACAGCAATCTAGTATTGTTATATATTTGTTTTAAAATTATAAATGATAATAAATGGTGCATCTTGCAGAATTAGATTCAACAACATGTTAAAGTTTTTGCCGTGCATTACATATCAACCAATGAAAGCAAAGTAAAACATTGACATTGACCTTTTTAGTTGACAACCCAGATGGTGAAAAAATATAATGGCTGATGCTAATTCAGATTTCTGTATATCTTAGCTCGGTGATCACAGACTGCACAAATGAAAGACTACAGTTAATAGGTGAATGGGCACCAGAGTATCGATGATAACAAATTATATTTTGCACTGAAAAAAAAGTTGGGAACCTGTGTAGACATGTGCACATTATTCAAATATTGATAATATTGTGGGTGTTATGCAACATTTTTTACTCCTTTTAATAATATGCCAATAAAAATAAAAATAAAGACAAAGAAATGGTAAAACATCTTGTGGTTTACATTTGGATTGGACAAAAAAGTTAGTGAGTTAAATCTTTTATAGTACCAAAAAGCAATACTAGAATGGAAACAAAAAAAATAATTTTGCAATTCAGTTTCCAATTTTACCCTCACTATTTTTTATTTATTTGATTTCATATATTAGGTATTAATCTCGTTTTGTCTCACTCTTAAGGACCCATTCTTATATCTCGTCTTTGAGAGGTTTGAGAGACCCCATGTCTCCGTCCCCATATTGAACACTATTATATGACTAACCTGGGAAAGTTTTTCTGCTCAAACAATACTAAGAGCACTAATGCTGTCTTTTAGCTGTGTGACAGAGAGAAGGCTTCTCAGAGTTGGCTGCCACCAGTCAGTCTCCACAGGTATTGGCCAGCCTGAATTAAGAGCCACTGTCAATTGTCAATCTTGTGTAGAGCTGGTTTGGAGGTAGGAAAATGGCTTGTCTCAGAGGGTTGCAGGGGAGTGAATAAGTCAGTGGAATTTCTGGTCGCATGTAGTTCAGTGCCTGTTAGTTCCCGAAGTCTACGCCTGTATTTTCTCAGTATCTCTCTGAAGTAACAGGCATTAGCAGCAGCTGGGCAACAGACATCCCCAGCGCCTCCAGGGTACAATGCCTTTTTAAGTTGTGCATTTAGTTTCCTGTCATGAGCCTGAACACTGCTAGGGAAAGATGCTTCTCACTGGGAATAACTATTTTCAATCTGTAAAAAGAGCAGCATTTCAATTAAGTGACAAAATCAATGTAGAGTGCCAGAGAGGCTCAGCATGTTCCCAATGCTAGTGCAATGGCTTCTTCATCAGCACTTTTTGATTTCACATGTTTGCTCTCCAGAGATGACATGCTTCGTGTTCGTAAGTTCTCTTGTGTACAAGCTGTAAAACCTGATCTTAGATAGGCAAGCACCGATTTATTTTTGCAAAGAAACATAAGCCCCAGATTAGGAAATGAATGAATATAATTTTCTTGATGAGGCAGGGTTACATAATGTTTGATTCATTTTAAGTTTATTTTCATGATTACAAGGCCACTGTAAAGGACTGCCCAAAAATCCACACATTTGTTGTTGTTATTATGGTGTTTATTTGTATACATAGTGGTTACAATGCATAATTAATTGGCTATCTATGGACTAGGCAATATTGTTCCATTTATCTAACAAAGGTAATGGGATTTACCTTAATTAAAATTATCAAAGGGAGTTTACATTTATAAACATAAGTAAACACCAGAAAATGAGCGCTCTCTCCATAGCTCATAGCTTGTCTGTTTGAGCTGTGACTTATAAATGGTTTTGAGTTTGTCAAATCAATACACCATTTGAAAGGCTACAGTATGGAATATAATTTTTTATGATAAAAGACATTTCTTGTAGAACTATACCTTTTTTTATGGAAAAATTTATTCTTTTATTTTGTTTGGTTTGCTACTGGGGCAAATGAACATGAGGACTCTTCTAAATGCTCTTTTTTGTGTTGTTTTTGTTTTATATAAAATCTAAGTAAAAAGTTAAATTGTCTAAAGCACTAAGAAACCCACTGTAGTAGAAGAGTGTGGATGTCAACAATTTCTCAAAGAATATTTTGCATCTTAAAAAGCAATCGGCATGTTCTCCATAATTACTTTTATTCAAATTATCCTCAAGGTTCTGGACCTTGGAGATTCCAGGAAAGCTTTGTGACTTATTAGATTTTGTGACCAGTGCTGTCCTCTGTTTTTGTGTCATTACTAATCAAGAACACAATTAGGCACACTCAATCTCCCTCTTAATGCTCTCTCTCTCTCCTGCTGCTCTCCTGTCCCTGTAGACCCTATCAAGACAGCCCAGGGCTCCCTGTCCCTGAAGGCCTACAGGCTGACTCCCAAACTAATGGAAATCTGCAAAGAAAAAGACTTCACACCTGAGGGGTAAGTGTCTAAGTACCAGCAATCTTCATTATCCTCTGGAGTAATGCTCAAAATGAGAACTGCTACTATAAATGACTCATGTGTTTTTGCATATTTATAACACAGGCTTCCACTGCCAGTGATATTGAATGTATATATTTTCTCAGCTGCTTATTCAGTAGATGCAAATATAGGTTGGCGCTTCCATGGTGGGAGCTATTTAGTAGCAGTTGGAGAAGGATGCTGCTACAGATGATTTATCAGTGTGTCCTTGCCCGTCAAACAAATGTACCATGTTTATGCTGTTTGTGACCTCGAGGCTTATCATAATTGCTTTTAAATTGAGACTAAAAATGACTGTAATGAGGAGGACCATTTTCTATGCAGTTAAGGTGGTGCGCACAAACTCTTGCATGCATAAATAAACTAGTGAGGGGATCCATACACTACATACACCTCGAAGTAAAGACCCAGAAGAATCAAATTACTGTCCCTTCAAACTGCTTGCATGTACATTTTTGAAATTCTAATGGGAGTGGGTTGATTTGCAGCTGGCAGGAGCAGTCTGGGTTTGTCATTTCTCCTTGCTGTGTTCATTCACTTGCCCATGCGGCTCCGTTATTGACCAAGCGTTTCTTCTGCAGTTAAAACTCAGCTGATTTCTCCGGCATTTCATTAGTCCTATGATTTATTATGGCTGTGATCTGTAGCTATCAGTGTTCCCAATAAACTCATGATTGAGAGAGTTCAGCTCTGGGCTAGAAAGGGCAATATCATCACATTACAGCATAACAATCTCTCTAAGCCAATCTGATTATTTTCAGGGTTCACATTTGAATATCAATATTATTTCCCTTTTCTCCTAAAGATCCAAAACTTCAAAAGTACTTTTTCTCCTTGCTCTAAAACATGCAGAAAAGCCCTTCCTTTTATGTTGGCTATATTTGATGTGACTTAAGTGTGCATATATTGTGCACCTTTTGGAAATGAAAGGTGCACGGCTAGATGAATCTTGAATAGACCTCATTCCCTTTGAACTGGCCTCCCCCAGTCCGTTGGGCTACAGAGGCAGTGGTCAGCAGGCGCCTTTTCAACACGCAATATGAGCATCAATTTACTGCGGCCGTCCAGTCAACCTTTGGGTCCGTCCAGCGGGACTCGACTTGGAAAGAGCATGGCATTCCGCTTGCCAAAAGTCTAGTAGGGTTGAACAATTTGTCCTGTCTAAAATATGCTGTCCTTCTATTCTCCCCCATTGTACTTATTCCATCAGAATTCAGGCATGCAGAAAGGTCACCATGAATAGTAAGCACTTAGTGGATAACAGTGTTTGTATGTAAACTGTTTATATTATGTTTCCTCTGTGACTTACTGCTGGAATCAGCCTAATTATCCATACCTTTGTCTATCCATTGAACTGCAGTCGATGCCTATACCTTGCCAAGGTTGCAATAGAAAACATTTTAAGAATTGCATTAGGAGTCAAATGAAGCGACACACTTCCATCTATCACTCAGACAAGTATAATATAAATATCTTTGTGGTACAGTGCACTCGTAGGATTAATGCAGTGAACATATTGATCGGCAGCATATTTTATAAAGCTGCATTAGGCATATACAGACGTAATGTCTGTCTTGTTCACGTTGCACAAGTGGTGATCCTGAGGAGTCAGTCAATGCAACTGGATTTATGCAAGACATTAAGCAAAGTTGGAAGTTTCATTTTGTGTTAAGAGGCCGTGGCAAGGATGCTGCTTTTAGCTCTTCGGCCTCAAATGAAAAGTCTTTAAAAACCATTTGACGCTTTCAATCGTGATCATAAAAATACTCGTTTAGGTTTTCCAGTAGTTTTCGGTTGTGTTGTGTGTAATATGTGCATTTAACTGTACACATGCAAATAGTACCACATATACTTACTATGCATCTCACTTTTCCATTACCATACATGAGGGCACTCTTCTTTTGCACAATGCTGGCATATGTCAGCAGTGGAAATGTTTCAGAGGTTGACTTCTCTACACAATGTATTCATGTCAGACGCCTGAAGCAAAGTTGCATCTCACATTCACATTAATAATTGCTATGTGTATGAAAAACGGGCTGTGCGTGTACTCAAAAGAGGAATGTCAAAAACATACAAATGTGAGCAGAAAAATTGAAATCCAGTTGGATTTTGTTTAAAGCCAACATAGAGTATTGTGGTATTGTACTGTACAATAAACCTACTATTGAATAGGTGGAATCTGCTGTGTCTAGAGATTGTTAGATTGAACACTATTACCATACTAAAAATAATAGCCATTTATGGCATTTCCATAGAAATAGTTCTTACTTAGACGGGCAGGTCACAGAATGATTTAAAAGAAACAAAAAGTATTGATGTTCATTATGTATCTGAAAGAATTCATGATTCTAGTCTTATTTACACAATGATTACACTGGTATCTTGAACGAGGTATTACTTCATGTTCTGCTTGCCTTAAGAATATCACATTTTTACAATTATTCACAATTATTGACAGCATGACCAAATGGTGAAATCCTTAATTTACTTTCTTAATCACCATTCCTCATGTGGCCAGATTTATTTTTGTTTTTTTATGATTATGTTGTGACCTGAATAATCTTGATCTATTATTAACTGAATAATCCTGACACCCCTTCTGCCCACATAACAGTAATCCTTTTTCTTTCTTTCTAGTCTGAAGAAAGCCAACATTGGCTTTGAGCACATGTTTGAGGAAGTGCCCATTGTGATCAAAAACTCTCACCTCATCAGCGTCCTGATGTGGGAGCTGGAGGACAAGTCCACCGTTAGCGACAAACATGAACTGCTCAACCTTTCCAGCAGGTGAGACAATCCTTTTACCCACAATGCTTCGGGGCTGGACATCTCTCTGGTGTTATGGTGTTAGACAGTGAGCATTTGAAATCTGTATCGGCTCTTTCAGACAAGCTTTTCCTCTGGGGACTCGCTCACATTTTACAGGATATGTCTGCGTGGCGTGCTGTGCTGTGGAAATGTGCCGTTTTATCATTTGTCCCCTTTAAAAAGATCCGACCTTCAATTCAACAGTAAATTTTCTAATCTAACTGTGGTATGGCACCAGAGGCTTTAGTTGTCCTAAACATGCAGCTTGGGGACTATGCATGAACTTGCACTTTTCTCATGTGGGGCTTTTTATTTCCATATTAAAGTCCCGGTTTAGCCCTTCAAGTGTCTTGTTGACAAAACGGCACAGCGGTAATCTTATGTGACTCTGAAAGACCCTGTTAATATCTTAGTGCAGGGAGGCTCTTACATCCTTCAACTTCAGATCTTTTTAAGCCTCAATCACAAAAGTCCCTGGGTTACACTGTGGCCTGATATGCTTTCACAAAACGGCTGCTACATAAGGTTACTGTCATGAGAAACATTTATAATATTTCACTGTAATTATCACGTGTTTGTTTCAAGTTAGAAAATGTAATCTTCGTCTTGAACAGTCAGTTTTTGGTCATATGTAATTTCAAAGATCTTGTTTTGAAAGTTTGAATGTTGTTCACAAGAAATACCTGTTGTGATTAATGCAGTTATAGCTGAATATTGTTCTTGTCAAAAATGTACTAGCAATAGATTGGCTATATAAGGTGAAGCACCACTTGTTTACATGCACACCAAAATCGAACTATAATCAGATTTCTGGACTTTTAAAATGACTTAAGTGACATGCAGGCCACAAAATCTGATGTGAGTAATCAGAGGGACCATAATCAGATTTGGAGTCCACATGTAACCGCAGCCACTGTCTCTTAAAACTGCAGCCTTCTCCTGTAGACATGAGTTAAGGCTTTGTCTAAATTAAAATTGATTTGACATTAGGGAACTCCTGGCATTAATCTGCCCCATCTGCACTGTCCTAAAGTGTACCCAATTGGAAACTAAAGGCACATCGATGTACACTTAACGTTTACACAGCACACATGAGTGGAGTCCCTTTCCAAGAGATCTTTAAGTGTGCCATTTAATATTGCATCTATCAAAGTGCATTGCATGATAAGACATGGAAAATAAGCCAGAAATTGGTTACCAAAGCCTTTTTAAAAGCTTGTAAAATAACCATTTATGCCTTTGGTTTTTAATGGAACAAAGAGATTAGTTCAAGACCCTATTTTAATTGCAAAGCTGGGTTCAAAAGGGGTGCCATTTATCCACAAAGGGTCATTCTGGTGATGTAAGCCAGAGTGTGTGAAATGCACAATTAAAGGAGATAAGACGGTGGCTTTGTTTTGATTTTTATAGTGCATTATCCCCCACTTGGTTTTATGGATAATTTTGTTGGCATTTTGATCATGACTGTCTCCTTTTACACATAGCAGTAACTTTTCATGAATCCTCAATATTTTGGCCTTTTCGTTTACACAACACGACAATATGTGTTCCAGGTTTTTATAAGAGATAGTACAATCTCTCAGCAGGGTGCCATTGTGAGCTGTGTAAATACTACAATGATGTCCTAGCTCTGGTCTAGACAGTGACTGGCCATATGCCAGTGGAGAATTGTTATGAAATTTAAATTGTGGCCTAGCTCTAAGGATTAAGATACTTATTATTGCCATATTACTCTACCCTATTTCTTCAAGTACTGTTATTGTATTTGTTTAGCCTTATGATGCTAGCTTCTTGACTGATGAGAGATAGCCATTTTACTCTACTGTACATTTAATTAAAAGTATTTTAAAATATCTCAAATAGTAGGACCTGTCATTAGGCTGTGCCTTCCATCACTAATGAGCACAATATGAACAAATCTCCTCATTTCAACCTAGTGCCTGGCTCTTTAAGTTGTGCGTTTAGCTCTCAGAGGCTCCCAGCATCGGTCTCAGGAGAATTTATCAGCAATCATTTATGGAGATAAACCGCTGCAAGTGGAGCAACAGCTGTGAAGCTGCTAATCAAAAAGCTTCCCAGGGGCAGGTGTGAGAAATTAGCACAATAACGACACAAAGTGCTGATTTGCGCACTGCTGGTGTCCAACGCTCTCGACTCGCTCCTGTACAGCGCTGCATCACCACTTGTTATGATTCTCCTCATCTGTGTCCTTCAACACAAGTAAGCCATGAATTTAATGAGGGCTCTAATGTACAAAGCAGAGTTAAATACATGTGGCAGGGAGACCAGCCTTATACGGCATCTCACTGAGTTTGAAAAATGAACAATGTGCTAGCGCAGCACATTGTTCAGGCCCACTCTGAAGTTGTGACAGTGTTTGAAATGTCCCAAAGTAGGGCAGAAACACAGGCCCATAGCTCTTCGCAGTCTCTGCAATGGGATGTTTGGCAGGATGAAATTGTTTCCTGAAGTTGTCAGATGGCTCTGCGGTTCTGTCCTTGTATTGGATTGTAGTGTCCGTCTCCCTACATCCTCAGCTGACAGCCCCACCCTCTTCCTCTCATTCCCACCTCTTCAAAAACTAAACCATAATGGGTTTTATTTAATGTTTTTCCCCTTGTCTCATTTCCCAATCTGAAGCTCCATTTGTCACTGTCATCTATGTCTAAGGCTGAGTGAGTGCATTTTCACTCCAGAAAACACCGTTGTTCTTACCACAGATGATGTTGAGCCTGGAGATGGATTGCATAGATGTAAATTTGTTTGTGTAGCTTCCTCTCTAGACTGCATTGAAAGGCTTTATATCTCCAATGTTCCAAAGCAGTCTATGTATTTAAGTTGGCGGTGATATGATGAAAAATGTCTGAAAAGTCAAGTTATTTTTTGAAAGTGTTCACTATAGCAATATCCACACTAAACAAAATTCATGAGATGGTTTCCTGCATTATTTACATGGTCTTCCCTTTGATTAAAAATATGAAATGAATGCATGCCTAAAGATTTTTTTTTTGCATTTATTTAATTTGACCTGATTTTTACTAATGCATTGAGTATCTGTGGACTTATCTAATATCAATCTAAAACCCACCAGACAGCGCAGGCTTATTTGCCTGATTTAAGCCCCGATTTGGAGGCGTGACCCTGAGGATTCTTGTATGAGATTTTGAAGCCACTCAGATCCACATGTGTGATGTCAGTGCGACTCTGAGCTGCTCTGTCATACCATGAGCACAAAACATCATTGTCACTGCACCAGCCAATAAAGCAGATGAGGGCAGACCGGGGCAGGCTGAGTGATGGACACAGAGACATCTAATAATCCAGTTTGAAGCATAAAAAGATGAGTGTATTATGTTTACATAAATGCTGTGAGGATCTGTGAGTGAAGCTGCTGCAGATTTTCAGTGGTAAACAAAAGATGCCAGTTTTCTGTATATGCAAACATTTTCTGAGGTAAATTTTATGAAATGACACGATTTTGACCTCTTGTCACTTCTTGTGGTGTGCATGCTATTCACTGCAGAGTCTGCACTCATGAGATCAGAAGATTTAAATTCTCATGATTCTCTTCCTGTCTGTGGTCTACACCTTTTGTCTCATGTGTAAAAAGTTGCTTAAGACTCAAAAACCCTGTAGTGTGTGGCAGGCTTTAGCTGTTACATACATGAAATTATCTTTCTTTTAAACCATCAGATCTTTCCTCAGTCATTTTTTGTGCTTTTTAGAAATGTCCCCCTGCAGTACATTTAAGTGACTACATACTGTGTCCCTGTCCATCAGTTATAAAAGCTTCATCAGAGTGGCACTGTAGGAATAGAAGGCATTCTCTGTGTTCTTTTGGCAGCTTCGTTAAACAACTCCCAACTGAACTCATAATTTACTGAGTGTCAGCCGTATTCCTGCAAATCGATGCAGTTTTTAAGTGTACCCTCTATTGTCCTTGTTTTAATAGGAATACATAGTGGCCCACCCTGTGCAAAAGCAGGCAGCCAGACTTGGCCCTAAAACAGACGGAGGAGCCCCTCAGTACACTTTGATTTGTCATTCAGGAGAGATCGAAGGCTTGCTGCTGACCTGTGTGAATAATTTAGCCTTTGCTGTATGTGACCAGGTCGTGGTGTAGTGTGCAAGACCTTGTTCAATATATTTGTAGCCAATAGTGTTTTTCAATACATTATTTAGAAAGCTTTGGACAAAAGGTGTGGGCTGAGCTACTGTGGCTGTTTAGGGAGTATACTAGAGTTGTACCAGAAAAATCTATACAATATGGTGAGTATTTGAGAAACCATGACTTGAAAATGCACTTGGACAACAAATCATTTTATGAAAGATGAGCCATCATTTTATTGTTGGGAGCAGCGTTTTATGGTCTGGTCTTTCACTATGCTTTAGGCTTATGATTTTTGAAGGGCAGCTGTAAAACTGTTACCATCAGTATCTTCAGTTTACCTCGTGAAAGTTTTGTCCTAAAACATTTGACCTCATCACAAATTCTGAGTTGGTTCTAAAACAATTTAACCCAGGGTATAATTCACCTGTTCTCAATGTCAGATATTCAACAGCATGGTCAATATGTATTGGGTACTCACTATTTAATCCCGTTTAATCCCCAAACCTGGTCATATAAATTAAACTCATTAAATCCCTGGTCACCAGGAGAGGTTCTAGGGGAGGGGCCACAGATCCCTGGCCCCACCTCTAATCAGATTGGCCCCTAAAGTGCCCCTGTTCTGTCAATCAACTAACAAGAAGAACAACCGGAGAATTCAATGATCACTAATGCAATTCCACCCCCAAACTCTTGGTAGCAGTAGACGTATTGTGGCAATACAACTTAATGGGAGAAGAAACAGACTTGTGGAGCGCTTTTTTACTGTCTATGCTTGTATTGACACCACACCGAGTTAATAATTTGTGTGCTTGGATATATCCTGTATTTGGTCCCTGAATGTAACATGGCCCCTGTTTCTGAAAAAATC